TTTTTTTTTTTAAATTTTTTTAACGTTTATTTATTGTTGAGAGACAGAGAGAGACAGAGCATGAGCAGGGGAGGGGCAGAGAGAGGGAGACACTGAATCTGAAGCAGGCTGCAGGCTCTGAGCTGTCTGCACAGAGCCCGACGTGGGGCTTGAACTCACAAACCGTGAGATCATGACCTGAGCCGAAGTCGGACACTTAACCAACCGAGCCACCCAGGTGCCCCGGGATTTGATCTTTCTTGAAGAAAGCCACAGTACCCAAGGTCATGCTTCCTTTCTAAGGGTCATCCTGTATCAGTGACTGGTCAGTGCACGGGTATAGGGGTGTCCTCTTACCCCAGTTGAGAAAATTCTGCAGGATCATTGCAGCTCAGGAGCTCCCAATTGGATTGGCTGAGGTCTTTGTTGTTGCTGCATCATATCCAAACTTCTTCCCTATGCTTAATCATCCTTTCTTTGCCCCTTCAGAGATTTTACTCCCCAAAGCACTCTCCATTAAAGCACTCCCTGCACACAAATCTTCATGTCAGAGTCTGACCCTAAGGAACTCAATGTGCCATGGGGTATAATAACTGCTTGGGAAAATGAAACAGAAGGTGGTATCAGGATGTACCCTTCATTTTGGACTCCCATTTTCCAAACCTATGCTTGACTTCTCATCTGGCCTCTAGAATAAAGACTTTGGGAAGGATTACAAAGCAGGGAAGTGTTCATTGGAGTTGTCCTCTTTTTCTGTTTCCTCTTCCATATACGGGCATTACCATCTTTCCTAACTTCTAGGGTCCAATATCTTCCTACTAGCCAGAGAGCCCCAGTTATGGTCCATTTAAATGCCTTGAATTAGTTTACCCACACTTCAAACTCCTATTTCACAGGTGTCAAAAAAGCAATCAGATTCAACTCCTATTAACACATTAATGAAAAACCACACTCTTTAATCTTCTCATGGGGATTTATAGGTGAATGAATCAGACTGTTGGAATTTGAATGAATCAGAACTGTTGGTAGGGAGTTAGAGTAGTGGAATGCCTTCCTGTAGTTCCCAAATAAGCTCAGAAGTTGTATTATCTGGACTCAAGTGTTCCTTATTGTTCAGTTATTCCAGCCTTCCCATTTCAGTTATGTTCTGGGCTTGGAATGTTGGTGGGAACAGTGCCAAGGACAAAACTGTTCATTTAAATTGACACTAAGCCATTCATTCACAAATACTTGAGTGCATATGATGTTCCAGGGTCTATACTAACTATTCCATGGAGATAATCTACTGGAGACAATAATCTATAGCCCTAAGGAATACATGGTCTCAAGGTTGAAAACGTTGTAACTGTCCTGTGATATGTCACATAATGGGCTATGAAAGTGAAAATGCAGGTGTTACTAGAAGACACATGGGGGGGGCGCCTGGGTGGCGCAGTCGGTTAAGCGTCCGACTTCAGCCAGGTCACGATCTCGCGGTCTGTGAGTTCGAGCCCCGCGTCAGGCTCTGGGCTGATGGCTCAGAGCCTGGAGCCTGTTTCTGATTCTGTGTCTCCCTCTCTCTCTGCCCCTCTCCTGTTCATGCTCTGTCTCTCTCTGTCCCAAAAATAAATAAACGTTGAAAAAAAAAAAAAAGACACATAGGAGAGTCACATAATCCAGCCACGGGTGGGGATAGGGGTCACAGATATTCTCCTAGAATATCTACTCCATCTTTTAAATAGGAGTTAGGCAGGAAATAAGTCAGATCTTCTCATAAGACCAGCTTTAGAAACCGTATCATCTTTTGCTTGCCTTTTTGCATCTCATCTGAAAACATGCAGTGCCATCACTTTTTTTTTTTTTTTTATTTTTTTTTTCAACGTTTATTTATTTTTTGGGACAGAGAGAGACAGAGCATGAACGGGGGAGGGGCAGAGAGAGAGGGAGACACAGAATCGGAAACAGGCTCCAGGCTCCGGGCCATCAGCCCAGAGCCTGACGCGGGGCTCGAACTCACGGACCGCGAGATCGTGACCTGGCTGAAGTCAGACGCTTAACCGACTGCGCCACCCAGGCGCCCCCACAAATTTACCATCTAGGTCATAGGTTCTGAGTATAAGGAACTCTTGTTTGCCTAAAGTTTCCCTTGTTTCTACAAGTATACACTGGAAGTAAGTAACATACTACAAACCACCATGGGACATAGCCATCAGTGGACCTACTATATGCCTGGTTTCCATTTATAAAAAATGAGAAAGGTACCATCTTTCTCTTCAGGGTAGTTCCTGTTCATGCGGAATCCATCTATTTAGTCTGTCCTCAACTCTGCCATCCTTTTCCCCATATTTAAAGGTCCCTGAGATTATAAGACAGTAATAGACATGGCAGAAGTATTCAGGAATGACCCAACTCTGTTGGTGTTACCAGTGATGTGGCCATTTTGAGACGGGAACAAAATGTTTGAGAAGCACACACATACACAATTCAATTTATTTGCTGTTTTATATCTTTTAATTGCAAAGGCTTTACAATGTCATATTTTCTTGTTTGTTGGTGTAACAGCTTTATTAGATTAAATCAATGGATAATCACATGTTCTAAACCACCATAATGATGCAATATTTAGTTCTTTTATGGAGCTGGAACTCAGTATTTGTTTCCTGTAAAAGAATAATACAGTTCCTTAAATCAGCTGTAAAACTCAAGATCTCTTATACAAAGAATCATTACTAATATCTTTAATTTTCATCTTTAGGAAAAAGTTAAAGGTCTTAACATTTTGCTGGAGCATGATTATCAATCTTTACTTTATGACCGCTGCAAGGCAGGAATGGCCCATTTAAAAAGCCAATAAGCACTTTCTCCCTGACACCCCAGGCCTAGGGGTTAAAGGTGTGGCAGGGATACTCAATGCCAAGACCCAGGGTGAAGAGAAGCCTGTCAAACTACTAGACCTTTAAGGGAGATCCTGAACTTTTAAGGGAGATCCTGAACTTCCAGTGCCCAGCTCTACTAGCTCTAACC